GTGTCGTGAGCGTCCTCCTGACTCCTCATTCCAGATTTATGCGGAGCTGGACCACCTTGCATCCGAGCACAGCTTCGTGGAGAAGATCCAGATCGGGGAATCCTACGAGAAGCGTCCTCTGTACGCCCTCAAGGTACAACAAAACGTCCCAGGGTGTGCCTGGCACGGGACAGGCACGGCAGAGCCTGGCCCAGAGCAGCCCAGCCTGCCTGGGATGGTTTTGACTGAAGGATGATTTGACTCTTTCCCTCCCATTCCCACAGTTCAGCACCGGCGGGTCCAACCGCCCGGCCATCTGGCTCGACGCCGGCATCCACTCCCGGGAGTGGGTCACCCAGGCCAGCGCCCTCTGGATCGCCAACCAGGTCCCCTTGAGCTGTTCTGCTTCGTCCTGGGAGTGCCTCAGAGCATTCCAAGGAGGTCACATCCCCGTGTTTAATTAACTGCTGATCCTCCGCCCCTCGCAAAGCTGACTCCCGGAGGATGTTGTGGCTGCCCGGAGCACACGGTGTCTTGTTGGAAGAGCTGAGTTTAGGCAGACAAAATGCAGTAGTTTAGGGAGACAAAATGCAGCAGTTCAGGGAGACAAAGTGCAGCAGTTCATGGGAAGTTGTTGACAAAAAGGGGGCTGATAAGCCCACAAAAAAACCCAAGGCCTTGGAGATTGTTTTGCTGCTTCGCTCTCCCGGCGCAGGGAGTCGCTCCGTGGTTGGTTCCCTCCCACAGCAATGCCCAAAACCTCCATCCCTCTGTAAATTTAAACCATCTCAAGCATTTAAACCCTGCTGGAGGCGCCTAAACCACCCCAGGAGTGCAGCCCAGTTGAGTATTCCCAGCCTGGCTGCTCCACTTCAATCCCAGTGCGGGGCCTTGGTCGGTTCTCCGGGATGAGGGAGTGGGAAATTTTGTTGCTTTCCCCCATTAACCTCCAAATCAAACAGATTAATTGGCCACCAGGAAACTGATACTCTTGTTCCCCTGCCCCAAAATCCAGACTCTGTTGCCAGCTGTGAGGGCCCCTGGGACAGGGACGCTCTGCTGACCGGGGTGTGCTGTCCTGTCTCTGCCCAGATCGCCTCCGGCTACGGATCCGACTCCTCCATCACCTCCCTGCTGGACAAGATGGACCTTTTCCTGCTGCCAGTGGCCAACCCTGATGGCTTTGTGTACACCCACACCTCGGTGAGTGAGGGGGCCGATCCAGGGAGCTGCCCTGCTCTTCCAAGGAAATAATAAACACAGGAAAAACGGGCTCTGGAAGTCCCTTTCTGAGCGCCATGAGAAGGAACTACAAGGAGGAATTTTAAATTACTCACCTTAAACACCCCACCCCCGTCCGGTTCTGACCGTTATCCCATCGGGAATAACGCTGGGATCACGCCTGGGATCCCCCCCCTGGGGAATGGCAGCTCCTTCTGGGAGCAGCTCCCACCCAAACACCCGGATTTGCTCATTTTTGGGAGCTGTTTCCTCTCTTCCAGAACCGCATGTGGAGGAAGACGCGCTCCAAGAACGCGGGCAGCGTCTGCTACGGGGTGGATCCCAACAGGAACTGGGATGCGGGCTTTGGAGGTAGGGATGAGGAGTTTCTGGGCCCTGGATCCCATCACAGAGCACCGGGAATAACGCAAGGGACTCCAAAGGGTCCCTGGGGATGGAGCCGTTTCCCGTTTCGCGTTGATTAATCGCCCAAGAGCACGAGGTGAAGGTGGCACTCGTGGAATCACGGAATTACAGGCTGGTTTGGCTCGGGAGGGACCTGAAACACATTTTAGTTCCAGGCAGGGACACCTCCCAGTGCTCCAAGCCCCGTCCCAGCACAGAACACCTCCGGGGTGGGGGTTCCAGGTCGCGTCATCTCAAAGCACATCCCTTAAACATTCCCACCCTGGCGCTGCTGCTCAAGGGTTTACCAGAATTTCAGGCCTTGCCTCAGTAAAGCCTGGCTTTGTTGGGCCTTCCTCGACCTCCCAGGACTGTCCCTTCTCACTGGTTTGTCCCCTCCAGGTCCCGGGGCCAGCAGCTGGCCCTGCTCCGACTCCTACCACGGCCCCAGCGCCGAGTCCGAGGTGGAGGTGAAATCCGTGGCTGACTTCATCAGGAACCACGGGAACTTCAAGGCCTTCCTCACCCTGCACAGCTATTCCCAGCTCCTGATGTATCCCTACGGATACAAGTGCACCAGGCCCGACGACTACGCCGAGCTGGTGAGACGGGAGAAGCTTTGGCTTCTCCTCCTCTTGGCTTTGGCTTCTCCTCCTCTTGGCTTTGGCTTCTCCTCCTCTTGGCTTTGGCTTCTCCTCCCCTGTCTGGCTGCCTCCCGGAGCTCTCCACGCTCCAGGCTCTTCCCTAACAACAGCCACGTGGACCTCACCGCCGGAATTCCGGCAGGAAAGCCCCTCTGGAGGTCTCCATCCCAGCCCTGGGCTGAAAGGGGTTTGGAGTCGGAGCCGGGTTGGGATGGGGTGGCTCAGAGTCAAGCTGAGCTTTGGGTCACTGTTTTGATTTGTTTCCACGTTTCTGAAGGCAAATCCCACAAATTCCCAAAGTTTCGCCCTTCCAAAAGCTCTCCTGGATTTTTTCTTCGTCCCCAATGCCTAAATGCAGTTTTTTCCCCCGTGGCAATTTGTTGCCACTCGTCCTTTCTCCCGCTTCCACGAAGATCCCGGCTCTGTTTTCCATAAAACCCCGTCATGGAGTGGAAATGAGCACAAAGCTGATCCTGGAGTATTGGAATATCCCCAATATTCCTTGGGATTTTCTGGTGTCTCTTGAACCTTCCCTTGACAGTCAGTGAGATGAAACACCGGATGATCCATTATGGAACCCATTGGGAATTATTCCACCTGCGGTGCCCCTTCCCAGAAATCCTGTGGGAGCTGGGAGTGCTGTGGGTGGGTGGAGGTTTCTGAGTGTCTCATGAAGTTTGGCTGCTTCCTGACTCACCCTCCCTGTTCTGCTCTCCAGGAATCCCTGGGAAGAGCCGCTGCCAACGCCATCAAATCCGTGTACGGCACCACCTTCCAAGTGGGGCCCATCTGCTCCACCATCTGTGAGTGTGGGGCTGCTCTGGGCTCATTGGGCTGGCCCTGGACAACAATTCCTGTCCCTGGACAACAATTCCTGTCCAACAATCCCTGTCCCTGGACAACAATTCCTGTCCAACAACCCCTGTCCCTGGACAACAATTCCTGTCCAACAACCGCTGTCCCTGGACAACAATTCCTGTCCAACAACCGCTGTCCCTGGACAACAACCCCTGTCTCTGGACAACAATCTCTGTCCTCCCACAATCCCTGTCCCAGGACAACAATCCTGATTCCAGGACAACAATCCCTGTCCCCCCACAATCCCCATCCAACAATTCCTATCCCAGGGCACCAATCCCTGTCCCCACAATCCCTATCCCAGCACAGCATTCCCTGTCCCCCTATAATCCCTGTCCCCACAGTCCCTGTCCCCACCATCCCTGTCCCAATATAACAGTCCCTCTCCCTGCCAACAATCCCTGTCCCAGCACAACAGTTCCTCTCCCCACAATCCCTGTTCCCACAATCCCTGTCCCTGTCCAACAATCCCTGTCCCAGGACACCAATCCCTGTTCCTACAATCCCTATCCCCCTCACAATCCCTATCCCAGCACAATCCCTGTCCCCCACAATCCCTGTCCCAATGTAACAGTCCGTCTCTCCCCCAGCAATCCCTATTCCAGCACAACAGTTCCTGTCCCCACAATCCTGTCCCCACAGTCCCTATCCCCCCACAATCCCTGTCTAACAATCCCTGTCTCCACAATCCCTATCCCCCCACAATCCCTGTCCCCACAATCCCTGTTCCCCCACAATCCCTGTCCCCCACAATCCCTGTCCAACAATCCCTGCCCCACAATCCCTATCCCAGCACACCAATCCCTGTCCCAGGACATCAATCCCTGTCCAACAATCCCTGTTCCCCCGCAATCCCTGTCCCCACAATCCCTATCCCAGCACAACAATCCCTGTCCCCACAATCCCTGTCCCCCACAATCCCTATCCCAGCACAACAATCCCTATTCCCACAATCCCTCTCCCCACAACTCCTATTCCCACAATCCCTATCCCAATACAACAATCCCTCTCCCCCCCAACAATCCCTACCCCAGCACAACAATCCCTGTCCAACAATCCCTGTCCCCACAATCCCTGTCCCCACAATCCCTGTCTCCCACAATCCCTGTCTCCCACAATCCCTATTCCCACAATCCCTGTCCCCCACAATCCCTGTCCTCACAATCCCTATCCCAGCACACCAATCCCTGTCCCAGGACATCAATCCCTGTCCAACAATCCCTGTCCCCATAATCCCTGTCCCCACAATCCCTATCCCAGCACAACAATCCCTGTTCCCACAATCCCTGTCCCCCACAATCCCTATCCCAGCACAACAATCCCTGTCCCAATACAACAATCCCTCTACCCCCCCAACAATCCCTATCCCAGCACAACAATCCCTGTCCCCGCAATCCCTGTCTCTGTCCAACAATCCCTGTCCCCCACAATCCCTCTCCAACATATCTGGTCTCACAGATCTATTCCAAACTCTGCCCCTCAAATCCCTGGTCCTCAACAATCCCCTAGTCCCAGGCACAGCCAACTCCTGTCCCGGACAATCAATCCTTGTTCCAACAATCTTCCTGTTCCTGAATCCCTGTACCTCCAATCTCTATCCAGCAACAATCATCCTATTTCCGCACAATCCCTGCCCAACAGTGTCTATCCACAATAACTATCCCAGCAACATACAATCCTGTCCAAGCAAGTCCTGTCCCCCACAATCCTGTCCCACAACCTTCCCCAAAGTTCCTATCGCCACTAATGCCCGTATCCCAGCAACATATCCCTGTCCAACAATCCCTGTCCCCCACAATCCCTGTCCCCACAATCCCTGTCTCCCACAATCCCTATTCCCACAATCCCTGTCCCCCACAATCCCTGTCCCCACAATCCCTGTCTCCCACAATCCCTATTCCCACAATCCCTGTCCCCCACAATCCCTGTCCCCACAATCCCTGTCCTCACAATCCCTGTCCCAGAACACCAATCCCTGTCCCCACAATCCCTGTCCAACAATCCCTGTTCCCCCGCAATCCCTGTCCCCCCCAACAATCCCTATCCCAGCACAACAATCCCTATTCCCACAATCCCTGGCCCCACAATTCCTATTCCCACAATCCCTATCCCAGCACAACAATCCCTCTCCAACAATCCCTGTCCCCCTGCAATCCCTATCCCAATACAACAATCCCTCTCCCCCCCAACAATCCCTATCCCAGCACAACAATCCCTGCCCCGCAATCCCTGTTCCCACAATCCCTGTCCCTGTCCAACAATCCCTGTCCCCCACAATCCCTGTCCAACAATCCCTGTCCTCACAATCCCTATCCCAGCACACCAATCCCTGTCCCAGGACATCAATCCCTGTCCAACAATCCCTCCTGGAAGCCCCCGAGCGTTCCCCCCAACCCTCCTCCCGTCCCTCCCAACCCCAAACCGCAGCCTCCCCGCGCCCCCTCTACCCTCCCATATTCCCGCGCTGATCCCTCTGGCCGCATTCCCATTCCCTGTTCCCAGACCAGGCCAGCGGGGGCAGCATCGACTGGGCCTACGACATCGGCATCAAATATTCCTTCGCCTTCGAGCTGCGGGACACGGGACGCTACGGATTCCTCCTGCCCGCCACCCAGATCGTCCCCGCCGCCACCGAGACCTGGATGGGGCTCAGGAAGATCATGGAGCACGTCCTGAAAAAGCAGGAATGAGCCGGCAAAGGGCTCTTCCCCGGGCTGGGATGAATAAACCCCTCCCGTGCATCCCGCTCCTGGAGTTGTTGGATTGTTCCCCACATCCCGTGGGATGAGGGGTTGGGAGACGGCTCGTCCTGCCCACTCATCCCCTTCCACACCCCCTCCACCTTCCACTATCCCAGGTTGCTCCAAGCCCTGTCCAGCCCGGCCTGGGACACTTCCAGGGATGGGGAGAGTCAGGAGGGGTGGGCAGGGATGAGCCTGGGCTTGGAAAAAAAGTAAGGAAAAAGAGTCCATTAAAACCCGTGGATAAGGGGGGTTTGGATGAGCTCAGTGGCATTTGGGCTCGTTGGGAAGCAGGAGTGCAGTGAGAAAGAGGGAAAATGAGGGAAGCAGGAAATTCCCTGGTGACTGAAGGCACTCATGGAATCATGGAATGGTTTGGATGGGAAGGGACCTTAAAGATCATCCAGTTCCAATCACAACACCTTTCACTATCCCAGGTTGCTCCAACCCGGCCTTGGACACTTCCAGGGATCCAGGGGCAGCCACAGCTTCTCTGGGAGATCCATTCCAGCCCCTCCCCACCCTCAGAGATAGGAATTCCTTCCCAATATCCCACCTATCCCTGCCCTCTGGCACTGGGAAGCCATTCCCTGTGTCCTGTCCCTCCATCCCTTGTCCCCAGTCCCTCTCCAGCTCTCCTGGAGCCCCTTTAGGCCCTGCAAGGGGCTGTAGGATTTCCCTGGATCCTTCTCTTCCCCAGGCCGCAGAGGGGCTGCCGTGAGCCCCCCGATCCAGGCTGTGAGGTGATTAAAGGAATTTAATTGCCTTTAAGGAGCCCCAGGACGCTCCACCGACCACTGCCCTTCCTAAATATCCCCGTACATTTATCCCGCCCCTTTTCCCCCTCCCAGCTTTGC